TGTTAAGTCTTTTGAACACATTTTTACTTACTTTCAAAAAATTCAAAAACTTGCTTTATATTTAAAGAGATTAAATTTAGGTTTTTGAAATCTTATTTTTAAAGACCAATCATACTTGCAATTCTAAAAGATTCTTTTATATTTTTAGCTAAGTTGACAAGACTTATTTATGTAACACTTGAGATCTTATTTTTGTATCAAGTTGCTTTAGCTAAACCTTGATTCTTCTTCTATACTTTATAATCCCTTTGGCATTATCAAAACTTTTGTGCATAAAACCTTCCACATCTCCAATTATTGTGAGTAAAGAAACAAGAGAAGTTTTTATTTCCCAAAATTCTTCAACATTAATTTTAAAATTTGTATTATATGATATCTTTCATTTTTTATGTTTTTGACAATTTTTGTTAGCAACATCAAAGGTAATCAATGATTAGTTTTATTGCTCTTTATTTTATTTAATTTTATTTTCCAACTTTAGTGATAAGTCTTCATTTTTTTCTTATTGCATTCTTAAACCATATTAAAATTTGGGTTTTTGTTTCCAATTGATATATAATGAATTTGATATTTATAATTTTACTTACACATAGTTTTGTTTTTGTAGTTCTTATATGATGTATTTTATTGGGAATCTCAAACGCACTCACACGTACAATTACAAGAGAGAAAGTAAATTCACAAGACAAAAATTTACGTGGTTCATCAAAATAACTTACGTCCACAGCCTCACTAGATGACATTTTCTATTTCATAATTAGGTTTACAATTACATGAGTATTTATAAAAAAAAACACAAGCAAATGGGCCAAGCCCAATAAACCCTTCAGACTTCACATACTCAACAATCTTCCACTTGGAGGCTTATCACATCAACTGCACTCCAAAGTAAATATAGTAAACCTCAAAACCGTAACACCTCCAAGCTAGTGCGAAGCGTTCTCAACAATTATTCATGAAGGTCAGTTGAAGCTATGCAAAGTTTTAACTTCTCAATAGTAACCACCTTGGTCAACATATCTGCAGGATTCTCTGACCTAGGGATCTTCTTCGAGAACAAAGTACCATCAATGATTAGTCCTCTAATGAAATGGTATCTCAACTAGATGTGCTTTGTCTTTGCATGGAACACAGGATTATTTGCAAGATGAATGACATTTTAATTATCACTATAAAGAGCACTGTCATGCTACTTCTTGCCCAACTCTTCAAGAAAATTCTTCAACCAAATCATTTGCTTACTAGTTTCTAAAATAGCCATGTACTCTGCTTCTATGATTGAAAGTGCAACGCTTTTCTAAAGTCGAGACATCCAACTAACTATTGTGTCACCTACTATGAAAACAAATCTTGTAATACTCTTCCTTGTGTCTGAACAACCTCTCAAATCTACATCAAAATGTCCTTCCAAAACAACATCATTCTTACTGAAATATAATGAAATCTTAGAAGTACCTTTTCAAGTAGTGTAGCAACCACTTGATAGCTTCACAATACTTCCTTCCTGGATTAGACATGAATATGCTAATAACTCCCACTGCATGAGCAATGTCTGGTCTAGTGCATACCATTGCATACATTAAGCTACCAGCTGCAGATGCATAAGGAACCTTAGCCATTACTGCCTTGTCTTCATCCGTCTTAGGTGCATGCTCCTTTGTGAGATTGAAGTGAACCCCCAAATGTGTACTTATGATCTTGGCATCTTGCATGCTGAATTTCTTTAACAATTTCCCAATATACTTCTCTTAAGATAATATTAAGGAACCTTCAGATCTATTATTACTGATGTTCATGCCCAAAATCTGCTTTGCAGCACCCAAATCATTCATTTCAAACTCTTCAAATAATCATGCCTTCAATCTATTGATTTCATCCATATTAGATCCTACAACTAACATGTCATCAACATATAATAGTAATATGATATAGGATGGACCAATTTTTTTCAAATAACAACACTGATCCATGACACATTTCTTGTACCCTTTCCTACCCATAAAACTGTCAAACTTTAGGTATCACTGCCTTGGTGCTTACTTCATCCCATACAAACTCCTGGTCAACTTACAGACCAAGTTTTCCTTCCCTGCTATTTGGAAACCCTCTAGTTGCACCATGTAGATGTTCTCATCAATTATGAAACGTGATTTAAAAATACTAAATATCCTTTCAATCATATTTCTAAAGGATGCATTGTAGACATCCAATTTCGTCCGGGGGCACACAAACAAGGAAATGGACCTCCGTTATGAAGGGAAGGAGCTTCCAAAGCAGGCAAACAACAAGACAGGACATCAGAAAGCCTAAAGGCCAAATAAGGTGATTTTAGTAGCCCGGAACGGGCTGTTTCAAAATCGAAACGGGCCGTTCCAACGTGACTAAAACACTTAAAGAGTCCTAGGCTGGAACGGGTCGTTCCAATACCAGAACGGGCCGTTCCAAACAAGTCAAATTTGGAACGAGCCGTTCTGGAAAGGGCAACTTTGTGTTAATTTCCACTCTGGAACGGGCCGTTCCATTTTCAGAACGAGCCATTCCAGGGTGCATAATTTGTACATAACGATTGGCCCAGAACGGGCCGTTCCGAATCTGGAACAGGCCATTCTGGCCCCCTTATGATTCCTATAAATAGAAGTCTCGGGCACAGTTCTCAAGGCAGCCAGAGAAATTTCGAATAAGACTCCTTTGAGCACGAAAATTCTTTATATCTCTCCCCTCTATTGTATTTCTTGAGATTTGTGTCGCATCTCTATTTTCTCGCTCCTTCCTGTTGTATTTCTTGAGATTTGTGAGGCATACTGTAGTGTGAAAGGTTGCCACAAAGCACCTTTTCCATATTTGAAGATTAAATAGAGCTCGTTCAAGAGGTATTTCAATCAATCTTCTTCTATATCTTTTATTTCTCATCTTTATCTCTATCTTTTATTTATAACAAACGCAATCATGTAGATATTTTAGGGTTAGTCGTATAATTTAAATTTTAAATATGTAAATAAATATTAATAAAAGGGATTCAATATTTAATTTATTAATTTTTATCATGTTAACTTCATCATAAGGTACCGATTGAGGGCGCTGTAGGGGTGCTTAATACCTTCCCTATACGTAACCGACGCTCGAACCCAATTCTGGTTATCAAGGCCATTGTTGGATCTTTAAAAACCTTTTCTTTTTCCAATGTTTTGAGTAAAATATTGGTGGCGACTCCATGAACCTATTTTCAAAACCATTAATTAAGAATTAGTCTGGTGTCCGGGCATTCCTTAATTAATGAGACTTTTAAAAGGATGTCTAAACCATAGGTCGCGAGATCGGAAATTTTCGGGTTGCAACATGCATGATGTGAATTTTATTAAAATAAATAGTTAAATTTTCATAATTTAAAAATTTTGACAATAAATAATATTTAATAATATAAAAACCATTTTAAATATTAAATAATTTAAAAAAATAAATATTGATAAATTATACATCAATTGATAGATAAACAAAAGATATGAGAAAAAGAAAAAGTAATAAATGAGAGAAGTGAATAAAAAGAGAAAGATAAAAGAGATAGAGAATAAAGAGAAAGAGAAGCAAGAGAGGTGAGAGAGAAGGAGAAAAAAGAAGAAGAAGAAGAAGAAGAAGAGATAAATGAATAAAAAAAGAGAAAATGAGATAGAAGCAAGAATGATGAGAGAAAGAAAAAGAATATGAGAGAGAAGTAAGAAAGGAGAGGAAAAATATTTAAGAGAGAGAAAAAATCACGCGCAATCTCAAAGATTTTAGTGAGATTCTTTGATGAGGGAATTTCATATAAATTATATTAAAAAAGTCTCACAAAATCTAACATTCAAAATGATCAATTGAAATCTTTATATTTTTTAATACCAATGGACTTTTTTTAAGTAAAAAAATCTTAGTTGAATACCATTAGATTTTGATTGACTCCTAATTTTTTTTATTGTTTTAATTAAATATCACTATATTTTGATGGACTTTTAAAAAAATCCTGATTGTCCTTATTGAATATCACATGACTTATTATATTAAAAACTAGTCTTTATCGAATATTACAAAACTTTATTTATAATAAAAATCTTTTAAAATTCATTGAAATCCTAATCCAATACATTCCTCTAAATAGTTTGATACTTGTATTCCTTAACCAAGGATTGAAGTTCTATCCCTGCTTTGAACATTGAATTACGATTGGAGGTACTACTTTATCTCTATTGGAGTTGACCTAGTGAAAAAGAGTAACAATTTCTTATCAAATAAAAAAGAGTAATATTTATTTTATGAATTAAAAATAATATAACAAAATCTTAAAACCATTTTATAAAATAAATTATCGTATATCTTAGTTTATGTATTTCAACAAGTCATTAGTTAAAGTAGTATTGTAATTAATCTCCTTAAATAATATTTTATCTTCGAGTTTTATGTATAAAAAAAATACAATTAAGAAAAAAGACCCTACTAAGGTAACTAGTCAATTTTTCTAACAAAAATTAATCATAATAAATATATTTTACTAATAACATAATTAAAAAAAATTTCATTTATATATAAAAACTATTAAATAAAGCGCAAAATAATACTCCTTTTATCTCATGATAAATATCCTAGGTTGTTTTCCATAAATTAAGAAGTTAATAAATAAATAAATAATTTTAATCATATGATTATTATTTTTTTACCATAAACGCTTAAAACAATAATTTTTTTAAAAAATTATGACGAGGATAAATAAAAAATAAACAATTAATTCAAAAGTTAACATCACACTTGTTTTAAAATTATCATTTTTAAAAATAATATTTATTATGGTATAAAACATTTATTATGAGATAAAAGAAATAATGATGTTTTAAGAATTAAAAACATAATTTAGACTTAAAAAAAAAAAAAGATAAATTGAAAGAACTAATAATTTCTATATTAAGTACTGAAAATTGGCTGGAAGTGGTACACGCGAAGCCAACACCCCGTGTGCATATATAAAGCAAGCACTTGTCTTTCTCTTTTTCTCTGAGTATAAAAATATAGTCATCCCCGATTAATAATCATCCTTTTCCTTTTCTGAACTCAAAAATTCCTTTTCGAAATGTCTGGCTACCCCAACCAGCCTCCCAACTACGGCTACGGCTACGGCGCTCCGCCGCCCTCGCAACCCTACGGCGCTCATCCGCCGCCCCAATCCTACGGCGCCCCGCCGCCCGGCCAGTCCTACTCCGCCGCCCCCTACTCCCAGCCGTCCGCCCCCTACGCCCAGCCCTCCGGCCCCTACGCCGCCCCCTACAGCAAACCCCCCAAGGAAGACTCCCACTCCCACGGTGGCGGAAGCGGCGGCGGG